TAAGCACTCAAACGTCTATCTATCTATGCCCATTTCTAAGCGCATCTGTAAGTCTATGAGTATCTCCAACTACTGTATTCCCATATCTATGTATCTGTATATAAGTCTATGCCAGTTTCCAGATATCTATATATTTAGTTATGAGTCCCCACATATACCACATGAATATATATATATTTTTGTCTCTCATGTATCCCCCAATACTTGTATTTTTTGACAGGCATTAGATTGAGCTCTCCTCAAAATGCAAATGCGGTCAGAGAAACAGAGAAAGAAAGAGAGGAAGAGAGAAGGCCTGGTGAGAAATTGAGAAACGAGCCCCATGCCTGTCTCTCGAGCCATGCATCATTGTTAATGGCAACTTGTTTGTTGTCGCGTCGCTGTCGCTGCTGCTGCTGCTGCTGCCACCGAGCTGCCTCTGCCTCTGCCACTGCCGCTGTTGTAGTACCAGCATCAGCATTGATCAAACTTAATTCAAAGTTCCTGTTACGAGAGCTGGCGGTGCAAAAATTTCGACATAGGGAGGCAAGGAAGCGGCGCGATGTTGCCGCTGCTGTTGCTGTTGCTGCTGCTGCTGCTGCTGCTGGTGGGGCACCGATGTTGCTGGTTTCGTTGTTGCTGTTGTTGCTGCTGCAATGTGCGTGCGATTAAGACGTGAGTGTGGCTGCTGCCTCCACTAAGTTACATTGTATTATGTGCCATAATTTAATTGACATTGCTCGCGTAAATCAGGCAATCACTGATATACGATGTGCCTCTGCCTCTGCTTCAGCCCCCTGCCCCAGCATAAACGAACGTGAGCAGCGACGCTTGGGATATGGGCAGGGGCTGGGGCACGGGCACGGTCGGGGGCAGCGGCTGCGGCTCTGTGGCTGAGCATTTAAATGCGGTCAGCCAGTTTTTCATTTTTTCTCGCTTAGTCGTTGATACTAACTAGACACTTGTATTATTTAAATCAAGTTGTGCTAGTTTTTTTTTCTCTCTATTTTTTCCCGCCCCCTCTCCCGCTGACTCTGCTCTTTGTTGCTGTTGCTGATGTGGAAATTAATTTTAATTTCGTTACAAGTATTTTATTTGGCCTGAAATTCCAGCGAAATATCATTTTTTTTTGTATATTTTTTTGTTTGTGGGTTTCTCTTTCTTATTTTGGAGTCCATGACCTTTGAGAGGTTCCAGAGCATGGGCCACGACGTTGCACGTTAGGGGTGGAGCAGACTTATCGCAGCAGCCGGGGCAAGCAACAAACCGAAGGTGTGCACCGTGGGCGATGCGTCTGTGGCTGCGGCTGGGGCGACGTCTGCGTCTGCGTGCAGCAGCGAAAGCCCAAAGATTCGCAAAACTGCTATCGCAACGGCAACCCCCCACACACACACACACACACACACACAGACAGCTGCAGACGAGCGCATAAAGCAGGCGTTGTTGATTTTTGAAGACAGACCACGGCAGAGGCTGGCGCCCAACGCAAAAAGTTGGTACAAGTAGAAGTTAGCTAGGGGTGTACTTGGATATCTTCAAGCTTAAGAATGGCCAGATCTTTGGAAATATGCCAGATTATAGCTGCTATATCACCAGCTATCTTTCAGCAATTGCACTACCAACATTTTGTTGCTGGGCTGGGATGGTGTTCCCTTTTGCTCCCACAAGCGCCGTTTTGGCAGTTCGTCTGCCAAATCCTTTGTTTTCAGCCAGCGTGGCCGTGGCCTCCTACAAATATTTCGTGGCTGTTTCTCTGGCTGTTGCGCCCTCCTCGAGAGGATCGGAGCTGCAGCCGGGGAACCAGATCAAAATGTGCCGATATGAGCTCATAAACACGCAGTTTAAAAGTATTTTTGTATTCTTTTTATTTCAGTTAACCCCTCTTTATATTCTTTATATTTTTTGGTTTTCTTTTTTTTCTGTTTGTGCTTTTTGGGGGAATGGAGATCAGAGGAGCGGTGCCTGTCGAAGGGGATCTGTATCTGTACATACACTTTTGTCTCGCGCTGTCAGATTTGAGCTTGCAGTTTGTTTATTTTTATTTTTTTTGGGGGGTATTGAAAACTTTTTGGCAATCGTTTTTGAGCCGTTCTATGTAATTATTCAATTAGGCGAAGTGGCAACAGGCAGGAGAGGGGGAGGGAGAGCTGGAAGCAAACAGTAGCCAAGATATTGCTCTAATTGAAACTTAATAATTTGCTCAATCTGTGTGTGTGTTTTTTTTTATAGTTGGGTACCTATTCACGAGCATAGAGGAGATATTCAGGGGTCTGGTGGTCTGGGGGTCTGGGGGTCCGCCGCTCATTAACAGTCACCGGATGCACTTTCAAATCAAACGAACAGCAAGTGGCCGAGTGAAAGATGCAACTGGAAACGAGTTTTTTGTGGCTGAAGATACAGCAGCAGCAGCAGAAACAGCAAAAAATCATAATAAAATTACCATAATTATAAAAAAAGCTGTAAAACAGCAAGCAATGTGCCACAGTTTTTTTAGCGGTAATATTAACATACTATAATAATATTCTACATACATATATGCTATATATGTAGTATATATTTATATAGACCAGCTTTTGTTGCTTCTGGCTGTTGCTGGTTGTTGGCAGGTGTTAGAACGTGTCTCTTGAGCCGGGCTCCAGGCCGGACAAGCTGCTGTCGGGCCACAAAAACCGAATTGTATAACACGCCCCGCGAAAACAAAAACTTCCCCCCCCCCCCCCCCCCCCCCCCCCCCCCCCCCCCGCCCCTGAGCCGCTGCACCCCCCTCTGGCCGTGTGGCTGAAGGCCATTAAGCTAAGGCTGCAGTCCGCTAACTGTTTGCTGTTTGTGTAACGCATAAATCTTTTGGGCCAAGCACAATGGTCTGTTTGCACGTCTCAAACATTGGCGTGGTGGGCCCGGCGAGTGCGACTAGCCTCTGTCCGACTCCACGTGGCCGGGTCCGGCTTCGGCTGCCGCTCCTGCCTCCTACTCCAGGTCCTGCTGCTGGTCTTTGGCTTGGCCTGGCCTGGCTCTTGGTCCCGGGCAAATCAATAAAAAACTTCCGCCACTTCAAATGGCGAGGGCGGTTTTAATTAACACGCGGCCCAAAAGTTGTGTTCCTTGCGGAAAGCGAAAGCAGCCAAAACCCGGCCGAGAGGGTCCTACGGCCACACTGAGAGAAAATGAGATCCATTCCAAGTGGCTAATGGCCGGTGTAAGTGTGACAACTTTCCAAATATCAAAGGAATATTTTAGCTCCAATGTACCCCTTATCTTTCGCACTGTGTAGCTCAAGTTGGTAGCACCCTAAAGTGCAGTCATAAATTTATGCTTTTGGCCAACTGCTTAACCCCTTAAAGGCCAGGCCAAGATAGACCGAAATTGATTGTGTCGCTGCAGGCGCTAGGGGCGTGGCTATTTGTTTAGTTGCCTCGATTGACAGCTGCCACAGTCTCAGCTTTCGGGGAAATCAGCGTCTTTCCTCTCGCTATACACGTACATATATAGTATCTATAGACCATTTCTGGGGGTGACTCAAGCTGTAGAAGGGGGGCTCTGGAGCAGAATTTATTACACAGCCGCCGTGTGGCACGCCCGTTCTAGACTGACTGACTGCCCCTACTTCTGTCCCTGCTCGTGCCCCTGCCCCTGCCACTGCCACTGCCCCTGCCTCTGCCTCTTGTCAGATATTCAAATATGTATCTTGATAAACAACTTGCGGCTGGAGCAACACCCACGCAACCAACACAGATACACCCCAGCACACACACACATACATAGATATGGCACAGGGTCTTCGTCTTCAACTTGTTTTACAAGTTTTTCTTTACAACATTATTCTGGCTCTCCCTCTGGTGCCACATAGCGCGCTCTCCCTCTCTCTATCTCTCTCTCTCTCTGTGGCACTGCCACTGCTCCGGTCTGTGGCTGGGCACATGAACTTTTGTGGCACACTAATTCAATTAGGAAGCCCACGCCCACTATCAATAAATTTCTCTAAAAACGAGACCCATTCACAGCTTTTTGTTCCCCTTAGCTTCTTCTTTAGCATAGTTTTTATGTGCGAATTGTTCTTGCTCGAATGGGAAAAAACTATTAAACAAAAGCAATGAAAAGTGGGGCCCGGGGGAGTACATTGGGGCTGGGGATTGGACTTGGGTGGGTGTTGTCTGTGACAATGCTGGAGAACAAGGGGCAGCAGCAGCAGCAGAAGCAGCCACAGAACAACTTTTCATAGAATTGACATTGACACACGTGGAGGAGCAGCAAAATGGAAATAGCATAATACTCGTAAGTATTACAAATGCATCCACGTACAATATGCACATCACATTGCATGTTGGATGAGTGTATCTGTGTGAGTATCTGTGTGTGTGTGTGTGTGTGTGTGTGTGCGTGTGTGTCTGCTGTCAAGTGAGAGGGTCACAGGCGTAGGAGGCAAGCGCTGTTGCTATTGTTGCACCGTTGTCTCTGCGGCTGGTGTCTTTGCTCGTTTGTCAGTCAACATTAGAGGCACGTCAACAATTCAATTTGAAAAATGCTAACCAACTGCGAGCCCTGCGGAGATAGTGGCTAAAAGGATTGCTGCCACAGCCAGGGGAATTGTGCGAGGTATCTACAATATGTAGATCCATTATCGAAGGATTGTAGGATGGGCAAAATATAAGCTCTTTTCAAAATAATATGATAGGTATTACTAAATGGTGAATAAAGTGAAATTCTACTGCCGTTCTATGCTCTTTCAATTTCGATTCAGAACAGCATTTAAAGTTTGTGGCCGATTTGGGGAAACTTGTAATAAAGAATCAACTCATTTACAGAATAGAATGACCCAGGGGGGACATACATATGTATGTATCCTTCAACAAAATGATTTACAACTTAATTAATTTGTTGTGCCGAGAATCAACTCAAAGTGCACTTCAATAAGTTTTCTTTGACTAAGAAAGGGGATATTATTCAGCAGAATGACGCCGATACTAATAACTGATTGAATATTGATTATCGGAAACTTAATGTGATTATAAATTTGGACTCACCTGCGTTTGCGTGAGGCCCAGACTCGCCGCCAGCTCGGCCCGCTCGGGCAGGGCCAGGTATTGGGTGCGCTGGAACCGTCGGTTGAGCTGCTGCAGCTGCAGCGAGCTGTAGATGGTGCGGGGCTTGCGCATCTTCTTCCCCTTGCCGTTGACCCGGAGGCCGGACTCCTCGCACTTGTCCGAGATGGAAAAGTCTGCAAGAACCGAACAAAGGAATGGAAACCGTCAGTCGGCTGGCTCTGTAAATGGCAAGCGACTTTGCAATGATGAATTTATAATTAGGCTATGAAATTATGGCCAGAATGGAGCGGCGGCTTGGCGGCTGGGCGGCTTGGCGGCTGGGCGGCTTGCCGGCTTGGGTGGAGCGGGAGAATGCTGCAGAATGCTGGGGGGAGTAGAACACTTAACCCTTTTTTGTGTATATTGTGTGCGCCATATGCATATTTATGAGGAAATTCCCCCGTCGAATGGAATGCATGAAACTGTTACATTTATGGACCTGAATTAATTGCCCCTGCAGCCAGCAACCCATAGAAATCACAAAAAAAACAATACAAAAGACTCATGTCTGTAGCTCTGAATCCTATATCGATTTGTTAAGTAACTTGTAAATGTCAACGAATTATAGTTAATTGCAGAATTGAAAGTTCAAAGCACTCCGCAGTGCTGTGGTACGAATAAATCATCATCATCAGCCTCATCAGCTCTACGATGATACGATGATGATGGTGATGGCGATGGCGATACGTAGAGCTCAAGTTCAATGAGCGGCGGCTGCACCAACTGTTGACGTTGCTAATTGTTCAAAACTAACACACACGGTGCCGCCGAACTATTATTAAATGCCAAATATGGTTACAGGTGTGTGCCAGGCCTCTGTACGTTTATCCGTGTATCTGTGCGCTGGTGTAGGCCGAATTTATTTGGCGCCCGAGCAGCCAGCACGTGCTGCACACTCTTAATGACAAAATGGAACAGAGCAACAGAGCAACAGAGCAACAGAGATGGCAGCAATCATTGTCATTGTCGACCACCCAATGGCCCATTACTCAGCGCCGGCCCAGGCTCCCTAGTGTGCGTGTAGTGTCTCTATCTGTGTGAGTGACGGGCTCGGGCACGGGCACGGGCTCCGGCTCCTGGCCAACGGTTCTCTGCCACACATTCATCCATCAGGCAACTACGCCAAAGAATGGTGTAATTAATTACGCCAAACGAAAGCCTAATTACTGCAATTATAATTACAAACAACTGTTTGGCAGGCGAGAGAGAGAGAGAGAGAGACAGAGAGTAGTAGGACTTTCCTGAATCATCAGAGGGAACACCAGGGAGAATATAGTTATAGCCATATAGACACGTAGATAACGATCAGCTGCTTTCCCAGATCTTATGGCAGACCAGGCCAGAAGCTAACTTCAAGTGCAAGCAGAGAAGCCTCAAGGTTAATTGGGCCCACGTTGCGTATGAGTGACAATGTCTGGGCCTGAGGCTAGAACTGAGGCTGGGACCCACTGTGGCGTTGGCGTTGGCGTTGGCGTTGCTGTTTGTCTCCAGCCACAATGGCCAGCCAGCCAGCCACCCAGCAGCCACAAAAGTGAATTGCTTTTTACTCACAAAATGGAAACTGCTCAACCAAAACGCATCGAAATAGCAACAAAGTTGTTCAACAAAATGACAATGAAAACAGCAACAAATTGTCACAGTCAAGCGCGCAATTATGCCAGAGACTGAGACTGGGAACAACATTTGCCAAAAAAAAAAAGTCGAACAGAAAAAGGTCTAAAAATAAAGCAAGAAAAAGCTGAAATAAAATAAAAGAGGAAACGTGCAACGCGAGCAAGAAAAATTTAATGAAACATTCAATTAAATGATAAACCTTTGGGATATACCACTTGTTTTTATCTTTGGAGACTCCAAAACAAAGATTGCCAAAACTATCTTTAGACTGTTTTCCAACAAGCAATTGAAACTGGACAGAAGTAAAAATAATGAAATCGCTAAAGAGTTTGTGAGTTTGGGAGACTGAATGGAGACAAGTCAATCTTGAGATCAACGGGCAAACAAAAACCCCGCTAAAGAAGACAACAATGGCACTCGAGAGGCGTCGCGCTCTCGAGCTGAAGTGTCGCCAAAAAATAGAAGAGGAAGCTGCCAAGAGATCTCTCAAAGATCTCAACAGAAGAGCCCCAGCAGGCGGCCTCAAATTACGCGCTAAGGGAGAGAAGAGATGGGAGGATGGATGGATGGAAGGATAGGAGGTCACTTACCATCCTTGGGCGGACTGGAGCAGGGCGGGGCATAGCTGCCCAGGTGATAGCCGGAGTAGGAGTTCTGATGCATGGGCGGGAACGGGTAGCCGAGGGCGCTGCGCGGACTCGGGAATCCTGAGTCCTGGCCTCCTTGTGGACCGAAGTGTTGGTAGGTGCTCCGTATGCCGCCGTACCTGAAAGACCAGTAAAATGTCGAAAAAGAAAATCAATAAATGGTTGAGTAAAAATAGAGTACACGGCGACTACAGAGGATATTCTCGATGAATGAATCGTGTACGGGGACACATCAACGTTTCCCATTTTCCCTATTTTTTCCATGTAGTTTGCGTGTTTTGTCTACACTTTTCACTATTAAATTCAAACGTCGCAGACAACGAACCACACGAAAACTTAAACAGAAAAACAGTAGCCTAAAATGTTTCATGTTTAATGCAAAAAGCGTCGAAACGAAAACTTTTTCTCTCACAACAAAAAATTAGGCCCGAACAGGGAGACCACAAACTTTTGCCATGACTTCATTTAAACAGAAACGGAAAACGACACCGAAACAAAACTAAAGCCCCAACTTGATGCGGTTAAATATATCAAAGAAAAATCAATACAAGTGTCAGAGTTTTGGGTTTTGGTTGTAGTTTCGGTTGGAGTTTTCCCTATACTGGTCGTAAATATTTTGTTAACACTCGGCGGTTGGAACAGTTGAGCGAGTTCCCATGCATTATGCTCGGGTTCCTAACGAATTGCATCAAATATTCAATGCTCTCTTGGCCCGGGAACACGGACGGCGGAACACGGAAGCGGAAGCCGGTCAAAAAGCCAAATGAAACGCAACTGAAACCGCAACGCACCAGGAACAACGGACAACATGGCAGCTACTTGGAAGATAGAGCTCCTGGGGACCGGGACCGGTACCGGGACCGAGACCGAGACCAAGCCCAGCGAAGCATTCCAAACCCCAGAAGTTAAACACGCACAGAGCCAGAGAAATGACAGAAGAACATGGAGGGAAGAAACCGCAAAAACCCGGGAATGCAATGAAATATGTATAATGAAAAATCGAATCGTGCGTTGGAAAAACAATTGGCGGCAGTACTCCAAAAAGTATTACTGAACTTGCATATATGTATCTACATACATATGTATGTATCTACCCTCCTCGATTATGACGATGATGATGGCGTTGGGAACCCTACGGGAAACATGCTTTATTTAGCACATGGACTGCCAGAGCCGGGAGTAGATTCAACTGAACTTAATTGAATTTATTTTTGGCTTCCGTTCGAGTCGCGAGGCACCAGCATGGACTGCACGCCGGAAAGTGCAACTGAAGAGATTTTCTTAATCAAAACTAATAATGCCGAGACCTCTAAAAGGGATCGATCCCTCAACATCCTATTCATTAAACTGCAAAGCTTTCATAGACTCCACAAATAATATAGTCAAGGCGGAAGGCAGAAAATATTTATAAATTATGGAATATGGCAGCATTTAGCTATTTAATGATTCTCTTCAAATGTTTTTAAACAAACTTCAAAGGAATTTAGAATGATAGCATAAATACCATATCTATAAAGAACCCTTCTCGTCTCTTCCAATAAATCTTCTTCTGTTAATGGTTCTTGTACTCAAAATACATAGCTAGTTTATTTCTTACCCTTCCTAGGCATTTCCAGTATATGCTCTCAAATATACAGAAAAAGTCTGATAGGAAAATGCAAAATAGTAAATACTTTATTCCCATCAAAATGCATGTCATTTCCATTCTAAAACACCTTTATCTTTATCATACCTCCACTTCTAGCAATTAAAATTATAGGTTTTATCTGAAGTAAATTTGCCTAACCAGGGAACGCCCTAACTCCCAACTTTGCTGTTTCCTTTCAGGGTGTGGTTGGTGCATGATACACAAATTAGATCGAATTCGGATAACTGAAATGTGGCAAGAGTCTGTTGCAAGTCTTTTGAGTGGCAGTCAGTCAAAGGCTCGATGCTGCACTGAGTTTTGGGCAATTCTTTGACATAAGCCCAAGAGATCTTTCGGCTTCCGATAAGCTCCCTGACAATGGCGTAGCCCCCAAATGGAGTCCGATCCTTGAAAACTCACCCGGCGGCGGCATGTTGCTGGAGCTCGACGAAGGCTGACTTTCCGGGTATGTTGACGCCGGGCGTGACGCTGGCCGCGGTGTTGCCACCGTCCATGTATTTGGGCGTGTGGGGGGCATCGGGGGCGTCCATGCCCGACTGGGGGGTGCTGGGAGGCCCCTCGTAGGGGCTCCCTAGGTCCGTAAAATTGAGCGTGTTGGCGCCTATTGAGGCCACTTTATCAAGAATTTTGAAGGCTTTTCTGGTGGCTGGACCCGCGGTAAGGAAATTCGATACAATCTGAGAACGATCAAGGCTTCAATCGAAATCTTAGACACTCGATAATGGGTGTGTATTGGTTGATATATATGTGTGTGTGTGTGTGTGTGTGATTGATTGATTAATTTAATTACACGTAAACAAAGTTTTAATTGCTGTTCAGTTCGTTGTTGTTTCTTAAACTTTTGAGCGCGTAAATCCTTTTCCAGCTGCGAGGTAGCAATCCGCTTTTCTTTAGCACTTTAACTCTATTTTGCACTCTCTTTTTCTTGATCTCTCTCTCTATATATATCTTTGATTACTTTTCACACTGGTCATGAATGGGGGGAGGAAGCTTGTGTATCATTTCGGGCTGTGCATTCATTCAGCACTGGCTTTTGATTTAACACTCAGTATTCCCGATTACAGCGACGGCCGCATTTCGAATTCAAACTCAAATCCAAAGCAAAGCAAAGCAAATCAACTCAAATCAAATCACAATCGACGGCAGCGCGACGAATCGGATCGGAACACTTCTCAGATCGGCTCGGTGCAGACGGTTTTTAGATCCGACGCTAAAGACTACGACGACGACGGAAACGACAGCAACGACAGCAACGACAGCAGCAGGTTGCAGCAACGGACGACGACCGACGACGAACTGCCCTCCAACAAAGTTCCGAACAAAGTAAGGCCTCCGCGGCGCGATTGCGCGCTGTTCGAGCCGAGCCCGACTTGTTTGCGCTGTCGCTTTGTCGCCCTGTGGTTGTAGTGTGCGAGCGAAACAACACAGCGGCTCGGCTTAGACGTGCGCCGGAGCGGGACGGCTGCTGTTCTGATGCTCGTAGCCGCCAATCGTCTGTTGCGTTACCGGTTCCTGGTGTCGGTGTGCGTTTGGTGGTGTTGAAGCCAAACCAATACCATCAATTTTCCCACTAAGCCCGTCGCTCCGGGGGTTGGGGAGGGTTGCTTACTCGCCGTTTTTACTGTCATTTCTGCCTTTTGTCTAGGTCTAGGGCCCCGTATTGAGGCGTGGCCTGTCGCCCCCCATATTCGGGTTTCGGGATTTTCGGTGCGGAGACTTCTCTCCTCTCTGTGACATTTATATGCAAATATGCCGGACAGAGGTGGCAGAGGGGGCAGGGCCTGGCTACCCATGGAAAGTGCAAATATTTTGACGTTTTAAATAATGTTGATTAAATGCAAAGGTCTCAATTATTAAATTGATTGTTGAACCTGTAATTTTGTCTGTTTCTTCTGCTGTTTGCGGGTTTTTCGGTTCAAATCGAAACTGTGGCACATCCAACGGATTGTGGGGGCCGCCAAAAGATGTGGGGAAATCAAATATAATTTAATTCAATGATTTGTTTAGATACTGCGAGCACTCTCCAAGTGGGATGATATGAAAAGAAAATATACTTAAATACTGTATGGTTTTCATATTTAAACATTTTTGTAAGAGGTGGAAATTTTCTTTGAAAAATCAAAATTTGTTATGTTTTCTTTCATTTTGGCATACCTGGCGCCATCCAGTGGCTGCATTTAGCGTCTGCAAACCTGTCTAACAGGCCGACAATCTGCTCACCTGCTCCAACACACACACACACACGAGCGCACGCATACCAGAACGCCCCCGCTGGGGCGCAAAGAGAGCCGCATGCCACGCCTACCACTGCGACTGTTACTCCAAAGAGCGAACGAGAGAGAGGTAGTAGTAAGAGAGAGAGAGAGGGAGAGAGAAAGAGAGAGAGCGCGCACGCGTAGTCCAATTCAAAATGGCGTCCTTACCAAAAAGTTGTTGTTGGACTTTGTGTCGCTTTGTAGCCAGGTCCGGCGACAGCGAGCCGCATTTCGAGCGGCATTTTTCATTCACAAAGTCGGTCGCCCGGAGACGGAACCAGAGAAAAAGACACAGAGACACAGAGTCCAAAAGCCAGAGAATCAGACAGTCAATTTTTTCTTTAAAAGAAATCAAAAAGCGACGGCGGAGCGAGCTTCCCTCTCAACCCCTCTCTCAGCCCAAGAGACAGGCAGTTGTCACCTGAGAAGGATTTCCGCTAAAAGTTGAAAATGCATATTCATAAGCCATAGACAGAGACAGAGACAGACACAGCCCAGCGTCAGCATCAGCGCCGCAGCAATTAACCAGCTATAGGGAGGGATAAAAGCCAACAAAAAGTTTATTTATATGTATAAAGTAAATAGATCCAGATTGAACATCAAGATAATGGGCCCGAGAGCAATATATGTAGTACAAATTGTGCGCTGAGCAGGCAAGTTTGATCCGATTGAAATGTTAATCCCCTTACGGTCCGGTTCGGTGCGGTACGATTCTGTTCAGTTCTGTTCTTACATCAATGTCGATATTATTTGTGCATTTGTGTAATGATAAGATATTATTAGACGCCTTCATACCTTTCACAGTTCACACCGTTTCTGTTCTGTTTCAGACCCTTTAATACAGAATCTGTTATTTATGGGTTGTGTTGTATTCTGTAGGGCATACAGCTCTATTCTGAGTCCCTGTTCTTCTCTGTAGGTCGGCTACGCTGCACTAATTTTAGGGGAACAGTTCAAATGCACGTAATTGTTGCAATTACTCAATGAAATATTTATTAAATGCAAATTATGATTAGGCCAAGTTTGCTTTGGCTACTGCCAACCCAGTGTCCGTGTGTGCGTCCGGGTGGGTGTCCGTGTGTGCGTCCGTGTTTGTGTGTGTGAGCATCTGTGTCCGTTCGCGAGTATGAGAGTGTGTAAGTGCTTCTGTTGGGCCGCGATTAATTGCCCATAAATCAAAATCAAATTACCGCCACACGAGACACGTGCAAATATGTCAAACCAACACGTTTGCAAGTCAATCAGACCAGCGAATAAATTGATCAAATTGTCACAGTAGACTACTGTATAAAATAGTCATAGATCAAGTCAAGGGCATCACATATCAGGCAGATATAGGGCACATATAGAGAACAATCGATATCTGTAAACAGATTGAGTAGCGCGGGTTTAGTAATCTCCCAATTACCAGGTTTTCTTAGGATCTATACCAAATATTACTCAACCTTTCTATATTTATGGATCATCTTGCCTAATTTTTCCTCCCCTTGACCCATTCCGGCCGCTTGCCATTGACCCTGTTCCTTCCATCACTTCTTGTCCGGTTCAGCCATTAGCCTCTGCCATTATGCATGTATTACGGAGGTTACCCTAATTCCATTTTATTATATTGAAAGTACCACCAAAATACATGTAACCCCGAAGCTTTACTTTGATATCTCACTTGGCAAAGAAATCACTTCAGAGAGAACAGAAAAAGAGAGCGACTGAGTAAATACGGAAGCCAAATCGATTTTGTTACCGAATAACATTAATTCCCGAATTAAAGCCAAGAGCCAGGCATTTGAACAAATGAGACGATTAATTTTGGGCCAAGAAAAACCGAAGGAGAACCACAATGAAGGAAAATCGAACGGAAAATTCGAAATGAACAGCACAAACGCCCACCAATGGAGGATGGGCCTGGGAACGACGGGAAGAGGGGAAAGCGCAACATGGAAACACCCACGAAACTAAAGGCAGAGAGGGGTCTGGCAGGGACGGGGATGGACGGGGATGGAGGACCCTCCTACAAGGGGAAATGCAAAGCAATGAACAAAGTTCCCGACCAAATACAATTTATCATTCAAATAATAATGTGCCACAAATGAGTGAACCCGAACTCGAGAAAGAGAAGGCAACAGCCGGGACATAAATCAATCAAACTGCAGGCCAGAAAAGGACAGCAAAAGAGAGAGAGCGCAAGAGCGAGAGCCAGCCAGGAATAGAGTTGGTCAGAAGTCTAGCTTCCGAGGGTTGTTTCGGGCTCAATGAAATGGAAACTGACTCCAAGTGGCATTTGCTCACTTGTCCGTCTCTTACCACGACTCCAGGCCCGTCTCCGACTCTCCATTCAAATGAAATGCGAGGCAACGCGTTCAAATTACATTTTAATGAGTCCAAGTCCAGGGGCTGGAGATCGGCCAGTGGTTAGCGGGGTGCGGGCTCTGTTCTACTAGCGAAAATCAAACTGCAGGCTAACTTCACCTTTGGAGCAGAATGGCATAGAGAGAAAGAGAGAGAGGGAGAGGAGAGAGGGCCCATTCGATGCGCCTTTCAACGCCATAAACTGTGGAGTTTTGAAGTGCAACGCGAATGGGGCAGCCGCAGCCGCAGCCGCGGAGGAAGAGACTTTTATGAATTTGTTTATGATGTACGAGGAGGCTAATGAAAGCGCCACAGCAGGCGCCAAATTGGGTCAGGACCGCCTGTGGCGGAGCTCCGCTTTTCGGGCATTCTGCCGATGGGCCCTCCATGGACTCACATGGAGCCGCATGGAGACGGGCCCCAGCTGCCGTGTGTGCGTGTATTGACATTCAATTCGAAATAAATCAGGGTTTACGACTCCAGAAGAGCCAACGACTTCATTGCAGCCACCCGCTCCCGCCCGAGCCAGTGCCAGTGCCAGTGCCAGGCCAGTGCCAGTGCCATTGCCAGGCGGCTTCCTTCAAAGATCAACGCTGGTGGCTATAACTCGACGGTTGGCCGTTGTTAGCCGTTGGCCCGTTGGCTTTCATCCTGGCGTTAATTGGCAGCACCGACACTGCCCGGGCCAATAAATTTCCAGCCGAACGGCCCCAGCTCCACGACTGACTGTTGATGTATTCATTGAGTCCTAGGATTTGTGGATCGGATCTCCGCATTGAACGAGGTGAGGACAAGGCGTGATTTGGTGGGGGGCCAACTGGGCCAATTAGCCACCGAAACACACAATGGAAATGGCCGTAGTGACAAGCACTTGGCCAGAAATTCAATTGAGTTTTAAGCCGCTGAACGCTGATATGATGGCTTCGTTGGACTGGGAAAAAGGCAAGAGATTAATAGATTAACTAATGAATGAAATGAACAAAACTACAATTTATTTAAAAGAAAGTAAACAAATTTCAAAATATAATAAATAATAGATACATACGATTATGAACGAATCTTTACGACGTTAAACTTTTATCAACTGCCTCTTTTTTTGTACCCCTCTTCTCGATCACCTCCCCCCACCGTTCACCCCAAGGGTCTGTCTCAACAATTTCACACTTTGGGAAACATTTTAAGCAGCGTCACTCGAAAGGAACAATAATAAAATGCCACACAAAAAAAACCATCAACAAAAACTGTACACCCAAAAAGACACAGAAACAAAAAACCGAAAACCAAATGAAATGTTTTGGAAATTTGAAAATAATTGTTGACACTTTATTATTGTTGTTGCTGCCACGTAACAAGTGTGTGCGCCCCATCCACATCCCATTCCCATTCCCATTCCCCCTCCCCTTTCCCTGCCACTCTGTGTGCACCTCTTGGCTGCACATGCGCAGGCCCAAAAAACTTCCGGCACCGCAGCCACAACAATATTTGAATAGGGACAAAAAAAATTTAGTTGTGTCACATTAAAAAGCAATTATCACCTTAAATTAACCAGCGGATCCCCGGAGCCCCCCGTAGTCCGTAGTCCGCACTCGGAGTTGCGGGAGTCGCGTACATTGCCATCCATCGAAATATTCAAATTGCTCGACTCGAAATTTTATC